TATATATATATATATATGTGTGTGTGTGTGTGTGGGGGGGGGGTTGCGTTTGTAAAATATATATTTTGAAGCATATTTTGAATATACTTCGAAACGGTATATATTTAACTGTAAGTCTATGCGTGTGTGTGTGTGTGTGTGTGTGCGTGCATGTAAAAATATAGAAATATATTTTTAAACATATTTTGAATATATTTCGAAATGTATAAAATATATTATAGTTGTATGTTCTGAAATATATATTTAAAAATATAGACTTTCAGTTAACAGTTCTTAAAATAACCAGTTTTCTTAACGTGAAGAACATTTTAGTAATCAAAAGAACCTTCTGTGTAATAGAAAGCTTCTGTGGATGTGAAAGGTTTTTCATTGTACCATATAGATATAAAAATATACACAAATAAGACAACTATTTACATATAATAAGAGAGCTCTAAAACTAATGTGTATCTGATGATCTTTTGAGAATAATTTGAGATAGTCTCCATCTGCACCAGAAAGTTCAAATAAACCAACTCTACTGACACATAAATGCATAGTTCAACACCCACAACATTTTCATAGTCTGGCACCTCCGCTCTCATTTGCTCATACAGTACCCACACACACACACACACACACACACACACACACACACACGCAGTCCTTGTCCTCTCGCCTGGCAGCCTCAGGGTCCACCCCCTCTCTTCATTCAGCCTGGTCATGTGACCCGAGCTCTGTGAGTAGAACAGCACTGTGTGAGCCATCCATTCATTTCCTCCTGAGAAACACACGGCGGAGGAGGGAAGAAAGAGAGAAAGAGAGAGAGAGAGAAGGGGGTCACATCAGAAAGTGCGACAGAGGAAGACAAGACAGAAAAGAGGGAGACAGAGGGACGCTATAAGGATAGTGGTTCTCGCTGTCAATTACTGAGGTTAATAAGCAAGGTCAGTAATGTCTAATGTTTTTTTTGTTCAGTTTATCACTCCTTAGACTGTTAGTTTGTTAAACTATGGACCGGTCAGCTGTCATTTAAAAGCCAGGTAAAATTGTCACTGGAAATAAGAGCTTCCTAAAGTCTTTAATTTATGAATAAAAAAAATTAAAAAAATATATATTTAAAGAATATTTAAAGTTTGAGTGTTAACATAACTGTACATTTAATAAGTAAAATTTAAGAGCTCAAATTGAGTAGTGTAAGAGTTATAATTAGTATGACAGAAGTACTGGATTTTTTGGTAGCTCTTTATAACTTCCATTACTGTTGACTTATTTGTATTATTTATTTTGTTCGAGTGTATTATTGATCAATTTATACAACGTGTTTACAGTATTGTGATCTTTACTGCATGTTCTCTCTTCCTGTTTATTTCGTGTCATATAAGGGCTAATTTCAGGTTTCTAAATAGTTCCCTGCACATTTATAAATGTTACATAAATGCTATATAATGGGTTTGTTTTTCATATGGGTACTTATGAAAGACTCCAGGGTTGCATTTACTTCCTTTTTCTTGCTCTCTCTGTCTGTCTGTTTTATACTTCTGTAGGAACTGCTTCAAAATTATTTGATACAACAGTACACGCTAAACGTACAAACAAGAATTGCACAGAAGAACAGTAGCTTTGTTGTAGACCAGTAAAGAACTAGAGCTGTTGCATCTGTTGGTCTGATTTGGCATGGATGATTTTCTCTCTCTCCATCTGCCAGTGGTTTCCCTCTCAAGTATGTGACATGGTATTCCTAGCCAAGTCAATCAGACCTTCAAAGCTTTGAAAAAGAATTAAATGTCATTCAAAGAAACCCCAGTTCTATTAAAGTTAAATACGATTTAAGTAGCTATAAATATACAGCATCCTTGCACCGCAGAACAGAAACCGCACCTGAGAGTTCCTCCAGTTGTTGATCAGTGTCTAGTGTCTGTTACGTCTGCACCGGATGAGCTTTGTGCTGCAGTTGGACGGTGAGGAAGTTCGGGGGTCACTGGGTCTCGTGTTTTTGGAAGCATTTCTTCACCTGAAACGTCAATAAAATAAGCAAACTTTCCTCTCACTCTAGCGCTTAAATGACCTCAGCTGGAGGTTTGCAGGTTCACCTCTGGGTGGTTGTTTTTGTACTGTAGATGGTCTATAGGAACACAAAGTGGGCGTGCGAGAGAGCTGCTGGTGAATGTGTGGGCTTCATGCAAACAAGATCTGAATCAATAGTTTGAGGGGGTGTGAATCAGGTGTGCACAGAATTTTGTGTTGCAAGTTTTTAGAATCCCTGCAATGGACTGGCAATCCATCCAGGGTGTTTCCTTGCCTACGGTCCGAGATGCTGGCATAGGCTCCAGCATCCCCATAACCCGTAAATCGATTGATGGAAGTGTAAAAAAGGTATTTTGGTGATAGCTGTCTATGTAAAAATTTGTTGTGGATTTGTCAACACTTGTTATGTTTATTCAGATATGAAATGATTAGTATTAATCTTGATGACTAAAGTTTCAATAGTCGATGCAATTGTGAAGTTTCATGATCTTTTGGTTTCAATTTCGAAACACAGCAAACCTAGATACTGAACCTTTATTTGAAAAAATAAATCGAATTAAATTAATAAACTTTAAATAAATAATAAACAAAGTGTAATGTAAACAATATTTTGCAGGTTGTTTTTTTTAGAAATAAACATAACTTAACTTTAATTTAAATAAATAAATAGTGTAATGTAAACAGTTTTGACATTTTTGAAGTATGTTATTTATTTACTATGTAAATAGTAATAAAGAACAATGAACCTGAACTGACCTTTAATAAACAAAAAAGTAAACATACAGATACATACATACATAAAGTTAAAAAGGTGTAATGTAAACAGTTTAAATTCAGAGTATTTATTATTTACTATGTAATAAACTAAACTAACCCAGTTAAATAAATAAATAATTAGTGTAATGTAAATGTTTTGATGTTTTTGAAGCATGCATTATTTATTTACTATGTAAGAAAATAATACATGCAATAAAAAATTCAATAATCTGAACTGACCTTTGATAAACTGACAAACAAATAAATAAATAAAAAACACATACATAGTATAAAATATATTTAGATTTTTTTCAGTGTTTATTATTTGTGCACTGTAAAGAGCAATACATTATGCTTGTCAATATTGTTTTCGATTAAGAAAAAAATAATAATACAAACAGCTGTCACTAGGAGAGTACTCTTTCGAAAGATACACCTTATTTACCCCTAAAGATTGGAAATTAGTACAATATTAAAAGGTACATAATAGTACCTTTTGAAAGGGTATTGCCCTCAAAACAGCTAAAAAATTGTTTTTCGATATATAGTAATTGACAGTGGAAGGTAAGTGGAGGTACATTAGGACCCTGCAAGGTGTGCAGATATGACATTTTAAAACATATCCCATTATTGCATCACCTCTTAACAGTCACTAACTGTGTTTACATTTATAACCCAAATAAGGCAAGCTGTTTAACCAAGATGTACATTTGTTCATTCGCTGCGTTCACAGAGATAAAACTCAATTTGGTATTGAACTGAATACTCAGTGATATCAATACTAGAAAATACTGGTATTGTTGAATGTTTACTTTTAGATGGTTATCTCTAATCAGTACAGTAGACTAATATAGCCTTGGAAGCCAAAACAGTTAATGGAACTGTAACTAGAAGTATTCAACGATAAGCTCAATCGTTTGCTTTCAAACTCATTTTCGGTGGACTGCATCTCTTCTTGGCATAGAAACCCAGCTGCTTGCATGCAGCCATGCACTTACACACACCTACACACATGTGCACGCAGAACAGAAATCAGAGGAACTAAATCTCCTTTGTGAGTCACCAACCTACAAAGAGTGAAGTGGCAAGAGGTTCCTGTACAGTACGGGAAACAGCAGACCTCCCTAGTGACCGCCTGGCCCATTAAACTGAGCTCTGCAAAAGGGCTACAACCAGAGCCTGTAGCGGATGCACTTCCTATGAACACTTTGACTGAAATTTGACCTCTGACCCCACGGTCACTCCTGGTGGGGCCTGACCTCCAAACGCAAGAGGAAGAGGGAGAGATGTGGGATCTGTTCCTGGTTAGGGATCTGTCAAAGCCAGACAGTTATCTTCAGCCCCACTGCTGCTGTCAGGGCGAATTACCTCGGAAGAGCTAAAAGCTGTACTTTTTAAGTCTTGCTCTCTCTCTCGCTTTCACTCCTTTCGGTCTCTTCTTTGGTTTTCACCTGCAGTTGTTCGTTCTTGTTCACATTCTCCACTTTCCCCCAGTCTTTAAATGCAGCTGTGAGTTTTCCAGCCTCACCAAGGAAAAACAATTCTTACCCAGCCCTATGTGAGCATGCACTGCTGGAAAACAAACACAGCTGCCTTGCTCGTTACGAGCAGGGGCATCATAACACTCAGGGAAGAGGGCTAATATCGTTCAAGGGGTAAAAACTCTTGCCATTCGAGTAAAAAGAAAAATGTGTGTTCGGTGGTTGTGTTCTGTTTTGGAAGGACTATGTAATCTCTAGCGATCACATCCTTTCCTGTCCTCCTTTCCTTCTGTTTCCCTTCTCTCTTCGCTGCTTTTCTGTAAGTTTACTCTTTGTATGATGTTCAGTCTCTGGGTGGTTAGCGGTCACGCTAGTTAGCATGCTCGGTTACTGGCACTCACGCTGCGCTTTAGGGGCTGAATCTTTTCTGGCACTGCTCTAGAAGAGGCTCAGGCTTTCCCACAATGCTCGGGACAGCTGGGGAGGGCTATCGCTGCCCCCTGGGTCTGCACAGCCTAATGGGAATGCGGGCAGATCTCTTCCAGCTGTGAAACAGGCAAGACTTTCAAACACCTTGGTGGGTGGTTATTTGGACTGAGCGACATATTGAATATTCAGAATATATGTGCAATGCTTTTCTGGTGATGTAAAATGAATCAGTATTGTAAATATTGAGATTTTAATGTGTTTCATTTGGATATAAGTTTTCTAAAAGTGTGTCTTGATGGCAATTTCATGGCCTTTGCTCATCTCACATCTTAAATAGTGTGTTTAATTGGTTCAGTCTTTTTGCATGAATCATGTAATCGTTTCGTGATTCAACATTTTATGTCACTATTCAAAAATGTTCAATCATGGAATTTTTCATCAAAATATTTGGTAACATTTTAGTATAGGGTCCGATTCTCACTATTAACTATTTGCTTATTAGCATGCCTATTATAAACATATTGGCTGTTTATTAGTACTTATAAAGCACATATTCTACATGACCATATTCTGCATCTCTAATCCTACCCAATACCTAATCTCAACAATTAACTTATAACTATTAATAAACAGCAAATTAGGAGTTTATTGAGGCAAAAGTCATAGTTAATGTTTGCTAAAAGCGAGAATTGGACCTTACAATAAAGTGTGAGCAAATATTTTATTAGTAAATATTTTCAAATGATAAAATTTTATATTTATTTATAAAACTGTCCCATTCCTTTACTTCTTAACATGTTGGTGTTAAAAACAGAACTGTTTATTACTATATCTTTTTAAATATGAAATATTCTGAAATACGTTAAATGTTCTTTATTGATCTTTTGGTTTCAATTTCGAAACACAGCAAACCTAGATACTGAACCTTTATTTGAAAAAATAAATCGAATTAAATTAATAAACTTTAAATAAATAATAAACAAAGTGTAATGTAAACAATATTTTGCAGGTTGTTTTTTTTAGAAATAAACATAACTTAACTTTAATTTAAATAAATAAATAGTGTAATGTAAACAGTTTTGACATTTTTGAAGTATGTTATTTATTTACTATGTAAATAGTAATAAAGAACAATGAACCTGAACTGACCTTTAATAAACAAAAAAGTAAACATACAGATACATACATACATAAAGTTAAAAAGGTGTAATGTAAACAGTTTAAATTCAGAGTATTTATTATTTACTATGTAA